GCTGAGGAGTGGTTTACTTCCAACTATGTGGTCAATTTTAGAGTAGGTGTGATGTGGTGCTGAGAAGAATGTATATTCTGTGAATTTGGGGTGGAGAAGTATGTGGATGTCTATTAGGTCCTCTTGGTTCAGATCCGATTGCAAGTCCTGGATATCCTTGTTAATTTTCTGTCTCATTGATTTGTCTAACAGTGAAAGTGGAGTGGTAAAGTCTCCCACTATTATTGTGTGGGAGTCTAAGTCTCTTTTTCGGTCATTAAGAACTTACTTTATGTATCTGGGTGCTCCTGTATTGGGTGTGTATATATTTAGGATCATTAGCTCTTCTTGTTGCATTGATTCTTTTACCATTATGTAATGCCCTTCTTTGTCTCTTTCGATTTTTGTTGGTTTAAAGTCCACTTTATCAGAGACTAGGATTGCAACTCCTGACTTTTTTGCTCTCCATTTGCTTGATAAATCTTCTTCTATCCATTTATTTTGAGCCTATGTGTGTCCTTGCACATGAGATGGGTTTTCTGAATATAGCACACTGATGGTACTTGACTTTATTTCCAACTTGCCAGTCTGTGTCTTTTGATTGGGGCATTTAGCCCATTTACATTTAAGGTTAATATTGCTAGCTGGCAAAACAACCAGCTAGCATCAGTTTGATCCTGCCATTTTGATGATAGCTGGTTGTTTTGCTCATTAGTTGACACAGTATCTTCATTGTGTCAGTGGTCTTTACCATTTGGTACATTTTTGGAGTGACTGGTACTGGTTATTCCTTTCCATGTTTAGAGGTTCTTTCAGTAGCTTTTGTAAGGCAGTCCTGGTGCTGACAAAATCTCTCAGCATTTGCTTGTCTGTAAAGGATTTTATTTCTCTTTCACTTATAAAGTTTAGTTTGGCTGGATATGAAATTCTAGGAAAGTTATTTTCTTTAAGGATGTTGAATATTGACCCCCACTCTCTTCTGGCTTGTAGGGTTTCTGCCAAGAGATCTGCTGTGAGTCTGATGGGCTTCCCTTTGTGGCTAATCCAACCTTTCTCTCTGGCTGCCCTTAGCATTTTTTCTTTCATTTCAACCCTGGTGAATATGACGATCATGTGCCTTGGGGTTGCTCTTCTTGAGGAATATCTTTGTGGTGTTCTCTGTATTTCCTGGACTTGAATGGTGGTCTGCCTTGATAGTTTGGGGAAGTTCTCCTGGATAATATCCTGAAGAGTGTTTTACAACTTGGATTCGTTCTCCCTGTCACATTCAGGTACACCGATCTAGTGTAGATTAGGTCTTTTCACATAATCCCATATTTCTTGGAGGCTTTGTTCATTTCTTTCACTCTGTTTTCTCTAATCTTGCCTTCTCATTTTATTTCACTGAGTTGATCTTCAACCTCTGATATCCTTTCTCCTGCTTAGTTGATTCAGCTATTGAAACTTGTGTATGCTTTGCAAAGTTCTTGTTTTGTGTTTTTCAGCTCCATCAAGTTTTTTATGTTCTTCTCTAAGCTGGTTATTCTAGTTAGCATTTCATCTAACCTTTTTTCTAGGTTCTTAGTTTCTTTGTATTGTATTAGAACATGTTCTTTTAGCTCAGAGAAGTTTGTTATTACCCACCTTCTGAAGCCTGCTTCTGTCAACTCTTCAAATTAATTCTCCATCCAGCTTTGTCCCCTTGCTGGTGAGGAGTTGTGATCCCTTGAGGGAGGAAAGCTGTTCTGGTTTTTGATGTTTTCACCCTTTTTGCGCTGGTTTCATCCCATCATTGTGGATTTATCTACCTGTGGTCTTTGTAGTTGGTGACTTTCAGATGGGGATCTCTGAGTGGACGTCCTTTTTGTTGATGCTGAAGCTATTTCTTTCTGTTTTTTAGTTTTCCTTCTGACAGTCATGCCCCTCTGCTGTAGGACTGCTGGAGGTCCACTCCAGACCCTGCTTGCCTGGGAATCACCCTTGAGGGCTGCAGAACAGCAAGGGTTGATGCCAGTTTCTTCTTCTCTTATCTTTGTCCCAGAAGGGTACCCGCCAGATGCTGGAGCTCTCCTTTATGAGGTGACTCTTCAGATATATGGAGGCCTGGGAGCTGCTTGAGGTGACAGTCTGTCCCTTATAGAAGCTCAAGTGCTGAGTTGTGATCCCCATTGTTCTGTTCAGAGCTGCTGGGCAGATATGTTTAAGTCTGCTGCAGTGCAACTCATAATCACCTTTTTTTCCCAGGTGCTCTGTCCTGGGAAGGTGAGGCTTTATTTATAAATTCCTGATGTGCTGCTGCCTTGTTTCAGAGCTGCCCTGCCCAGCAAGGAGGTAATCTAGTCATAGTCTGCCAGCAGAGGCATTGCAGAGCTGCTGACAGCCCTGCCCAGTTGCTGTGTGAACTTCCTTGCAGTTTTGTTTATAGAGGTACAGTTAGAACTGCCTCAGTAGTAGTGGACTGCCTCAGTAATGGCGGATGCCTTTCCTCCTACAGAGCTCAACTGCCTGGGTCCAGCTGTGCTTGCTGTGAAATTCTCAAGTCAGAGTGTTTCAAATTGCTGGTCTTTGTGGGGGTGGGACCCGCCGAGCCAGATCACCTAGCTCCCTGCTTTCAGTCCCCTCTTTTTCAGGTGAATGTGCAGCTCTGTCTCCCAGGCCTTCCAGGTGATAGTTGAGACAGCTGCCCAGAGTTGTGTGAGTTTTTGTGTGGAAACCCACACCGACTGAAACAGCCGTGTTGGAAACTCTTGGGGCTTTTTGGCCCAGGAATCTCCTGGTCTGTGGGCAGCGAAAACTGTGGGAGAGGTGCAGTATTTGAACCGAAGTGCTGGAGTGGATGGAAAAGCCCCAGATGGCCTCCACTGGGTAGGGAGGAGGGTACTCTGGGGATTGCACTTCCCAGGTGAGGCAGTGCCTCACCTTGCCTCGGCTGACCCTTCCTGGGCTACACCCACTGTGCCACCAGTCCCATTGAGATGCAGGTACTTCATTTGGAAATGCAGAGATAACTCACCCTCTGCACAGCTCTCACTGGGAACTGCACTCCAGAGCTGTTCCTATTAGGCCATCTTGCTCTATCTGCTTTCTTGATGTATCTGATGCTTTATTGTCATTTTAATTTAGCTTCTGGAGAGAGTAAACTTTAACTTGTGTGTTCAATTAACTTTTGTTCAATCTGCATTATATTGTCACTTATTAAGAATTCTCTATCTTTTATTTCAAAATAAGGAATATAGAGAATCCCCGATAACCAGAGAGAGCCTGCACACTGGAATTTACGCAAGAAAACCTCCATTTTTCATGTCAAAATTTATTTTAAAATCATCTAATTTAATATGAAAGTTATATTTGTAAATTAGTATTATCCAAATCAGTATAGGAGATTTTCATTAGTGCTCAGTACTTATCACTGTAAATGCATGGCTGAGACAAAACATGGGTTACATATTTCATGTTCATTTTATTCTTTAATGCTTTCTATGCATAGATGAGTCTTAAAATTTCTAATTACAAGGTGAACATCAATTTGAAAAAAATGCTTGGCTTTTTAAAATGTTTGCTATATATCCCCAAAACTGTACTTTTCCTTTTTATTCTACTTTTCTATGTCATTTTCTATTTACTTTTCCATAACTTGTGTTTCATCTTCCTTTTGAAAATTATTACTCCTAATATTTTATATAGACTCACCATAATCTTTGTATGTTTGTCCCTCTTTTTTTCTGAACTCACCACTATCATAAGCAACAATTTTTTGAACTATGTAGATTATAGTCACCTGATAGGGAAAATCTCTCTGATTTTAACTATCTTTTTTTAAAAAAAGAATATTATGCCCCATTTGTATCTTTTCAAAACAAGTATATCTTTTATAAGCTGTGAAGATGGGCTAAAGGTAGATAATTTTTCGTAAGCACAATGGCTGCATTATTTAAAGCTAAGAAGTAAGACATTTTATGTCTTGAAAAGGCTCTTAGAATAAAATTACCTCACTGAAATTAGCCATCTTTTGGCTAAATTGACTTTCTTTTTGCTTTCAAGAATTTTATTTTCTTTCATTCAGCAGATGTATTACTTATTTCCAAAACAGAACAAAAGAAAAAATAGTATATAAATGTGAAAACATTTATTTTATATTATTTTGACTAAAAGACTGTGAAGATAAATTTTATTCAAAATGATTATTGTTTCTTATTACCAAAAGTAAACACCATAAAGAAGAAGTAGCTTCAGCAATGTACACAGATATAATTTTCAAGTTGACATTACAACATATCGGACTTTGGAAAAGCATAAACTATAATTTTGTGACTACAGTTGATGAATGGGTGATAATTTCAACTATAAGTGTAAACATGCACTATGTTTCCAGAAATCTAGATGAGAGAGACTATTGAATAGTTTTTAAGATTACAATTTTGGTTTTAACAGAACTTGTCCAAGTCCTGGCTCTGACACTGTGATTTACTTCAGGTTATTTTAGTTTTCTGAGCCTCAGTTTACTTGGCAGAAAAATGGGGATTTACAACCCAAGGCTATGATAAAGATTAAACATACCTATACACGTAGTATTTAACATAGAATCTGGCACATAGTGAGCATTCAATGAATGGTTGCCAATGTTACTACAAAGCCGTTTAGATATGTTTGATCAAAATGAATAAAACTGTACCAATCACAAGCAAAATTAATTCAATGTACACCAGGATTGGTAGTTACCAATATTTCCACTTTGGGCAAATAAAAACAGCTAGGCATTTATGCTTACAGGTAAGACACTAAATGTTAATGTCTCCGGATGAAATAAAATTGGAAATGGTAGGTGGTGCAGGAGAGACATGCTCTCATTTTAAAGGTTAAAAAAGCGGATTTAAAATGTGTATACATCTGGTCACTAGAAATAGCTTTCTTTTCACTATACTCAGAGGATTCACTTATTCAACAGATATTCTTTGATTGCCTATTATGTGCCCGACTGTGTTTACCTACCATGCAAAAGGAAATACCTTCTTTTTATGCTTGAATACTTTCCTTTTCCACAGACATTTCCACTGGGCCTGGGAGATGGGCAATTCTATTCATGGACAGATGGTTTGAGAAGAAAGGACTGGCATGACTATGAAAGCATTCAGAAAGAGGCTATGCGCTCAGGTATGAAGCCCAGTGTACGCCAAAGTGCTACTTCACTCACAGCAGTGTCTCATTTGTCACGTAAAGGATCTCTAATTAGTATTTCCTCTGCACACAGTAAAGTATGTTTCATGGGGATATTGGAGGTGAATACTGGACAGAACCTAAATGATTTCAAATTTCAGAGAGAGAACAGATAATGAATAGTCCCTCTAATATTAGCTGCAGTAAAACTTATTAAAATGTAAGAAATATATAGTACTATATATTCCCAAACTGCTTAATAATTTCTAGGGGTATCCTGGGATTTATCAACTAGACTTGACCTAATAGATATGTATCTTGAGCAAGATTCACTCATTAGAGCTGAAGTGTATCTAACTGGTGATGCAAAGTATTTAATTTCTGCCAATGTTTCTAGACACTGGCAGGATGTACAGCAAGCCAGCAGGTCAAGCAGCTGGGGATCTAAGGTTGGAAAAGCAATCAGGAAGTTAAATGGAATCAAGTAGGTCTGTTCATGTGTAGCAGAGTTCCAGTCTTGTGCTAGACTTAAAGAACAAAATGGCAGGAAGGGCATATAAGTAGGAATTCAGAAAGTAGAAATTCAGTGAAATTGAGTAACTCATGACAGGAAGCCCATATTCTATTATTAAGCCCAAAAAGTTGTTTTCACTGTGAGGATGTCACAGAAATAGAGCAGCTACAGTTTGGTAAAGAAATCTCAGAAGCCCGGAGACACTTCATTCCGGATCAATTCAGCAGCAGGGTTGTTACTAGCCATGGTGTGAGGTCCTCTTGCTCAATTTACCCCATAACTCACTCCTGCAAGGTAACTAGAGTTAGTAACAAAATTGTTCTCGGCTGTGTCAGGTATGGCTCTGTGTCAGGTATGGCTGACTTAATTACAGTCTTTTATTTTTCCATTTCTTTTCTTCAAATAAAAGCCTGCCCCACGCCTCACCCCCAACTTCATTAAAGCAGCTTATTCCAAAGATGTTCCCTGTTTTCAGAGAATGAACTTCTTCCAGGTTCTATCATCTTTCCACCTTGGCAGTTACCCCATGAACAGTTATGAAAGTGAGTTCCTTACCAGCATCCTCATTTTTCTCATACTTTCTTTTCCCTCTATTTGCTTGATTAACTCTTTATTATTCTAACCACTTGTTTCTCCTTATGACCCCACGATGCTAAAGTTTTTTGGAAATGTTTTCATAATTTTACCTACTGAGTCTTCCACAAGTTGATAATAAAATAGCCCAAATGTATTGAATGGATGTTTTGTACTAAGTGCTTAACATATGTATTTTATTTAAACCTCAGAAGAACTCCAATAGATATTATTATCCCAAATTAAAATAAAATTGAGTTCCTACAAATTTATTAATTTTATCCAAGTTCAAGCAGCTAATAATTTGGATTAAAAACCAGGTCTTATTGTGGTCCATTATACCCCACTGTCAAATATAATATTTGGTATGGAGTAATGGCAAGGACACAGCAGAAGAAAGACACAGCTAGGCTCAAATCCTAGCATTTTCATACATAAGCTGTGGCAAATCAATTTCTGTTTCTGATATTCTACTCTGTAGAATTTCTTTAAGGATTAAAGATAATATACCTACAGTCATTGTCCAATTATTTGAACATATTGGAAACTCAACTAATTATAACTGTAATTATTAATCCATCTAAGTTACTTTTACGTGAATTGGTGTGCCTATCCTTTTCTTGTACCAATGAGTTTTGAATACAAAATCCAGTGCTTCACATTTATATCTGCTCCATACCACCCTTTCCACCTCCTGAGTAAATTTGCCTTTTCTATCTTCATCTTTGCTTGGACCAAGGGAAAGTTGATCTGCAAAAGACATTGGTAATATCACAGATTTTTAACTACAAATTCTTTGTGTAATTTAAAAGCTTTTAAATGCTAGATTTTTTTTTATTCACTGGAGGATAGATGATAAATTCATATGCTAAATTTTATTTTTATACAATGAAATATAAATAAAAGTATATTAAAACACACGTGTGTGTACACACACATTCAGGTACAGAGCTGAAATCAAATATCTGTGTACTTCATATACAGGCCAGGAAAACGGATTATTTCTGCAATTGTGTCCCTTCCACGACTTTAATTTTGTATTTACTCTCTTATTTTTCTCTGTAGTTTTTACTGCCAATGTATTTATCCTGAATAAAATACTGTTAAGTTTTGCCAGTGTTTGAACTTTATCTAAGAATTTCATCTTATTGCGTGACTTTCTTCTTTCACTAAAAAATATTTTTGAGATTCATCTAGGTCAACGTGTACAATGGTAGTTGGTTCATTTTTACTGTTGTTTAATTTTCTGTAACATTCTCCTTTTGGTTGGCCTTTGAATAGTATTAGTTGTTGTGTATAATTCTTCTACAAGTATTCTTGTGCATGGTTCTAGGGTAGAGAGAATATTTTATTAAAGTACATATTTAATAGTAAATTTGTATGTCCAGAGAATGCACAGTTGAACTTCATTAGGCCATGACAAACCGCCAAAATTGATAACACCAGTTTCATTTCGATCAATAATGGATGGAATTCTCACTGTGGTAGCAGTACATCATTGTGGATATTTGAAATTGTCTGACTTTTTCCCCCAATTTGGTGATATGAAATAGTCTCTCACTGTCATTTAGATTTGCATTTTATTAGTATAAAAACATTAAAATGTACTTGATATCTTTTTATGCTTTTGGGCCATTTGTTCTTTATTTTTTGGTAAAAGTCCTATTCATTTCTATTTCCACCTTTTAATTTTTTTTCTCTTCTTCATTGATCCATATAGTGCTCTTAATTTATTTTGAATGATAACCTTTGGTGGTTGCATAACGTGACAAAAACTTATCCTACATCTTGTAGACAGTTTAAAAAAAATCTATGTATGGATTAATGAATAGTTTTCAATTTTAAGGTAGCTAAATTTAGCAGTTATTTTTTAAAAATAGATCATACTGATGTTCTGCACTGTCTTTTAAAAGCTTGATAATTTTGGCTGGGTGCAGTGTCTTACACCTGTAATCTCAGCATACTGGGAGGCAGTGGAGGGAGAATCACTTGAGCCCAGGAGTTTGAGAGCAGCCTGGGCAACAAAGTGAGACCTCATCTCTACAAAAAAAAAAAAAAAAAAAAAAGAAAATTAGCCAGGGGTGGTGGCGTGTACCTGTGGTCTCAGCTACGTTGAAGGCTGAGGCAGGAGGATCACTTGAGCCTGGGAATTCAAGGCTGCAGTGAGTTATCCAGCCTGGGCTGGAGTCCCTATATCTAAATAAATAAATAAGCTTCATAATTTTTCATTCTGCATTTGGGGCTTAAATTCACCTAGTCTTCATTTTTATATAATGTGAGGTAGGGATCCAATATTTATTTAGTGTTTATTCACTTAACCAATTCTCAGCAACATTTATTAAGAAATTTGTCTTTTCCTTCATTGCTCTGAACTATTGATTCTATTATAAATTAAGTTTCCATATTTGTGTGTTCTTTCTGGGTTCTCAATCCTGTTCTGTGAGTAAAAATTCCTGTGCTAATACCATAATAGCTAATGTACTATATCTTTATTGCAATGATTAATATCTGGTACAGGTCACCAAAAAGGAGCTACATTCTTGCCTTTCTTTTTGTTGCCATTCTTACATTGTACTCTTCCTTAAAATTTTATGTTTGTTTTAAATTTCATTAACAGACACAGATATGCACAAAAAAATGGGAATTTTTGAACTGCATTGAGCCTATGGATAAAGTAGGGGATAATTGATATTTTCCAATATAGAATAGTCTATTTTATGGTACATCATTATATTTATTTGCTACTTTTTTTTAATTATATTTAGGGATGGCTTTGTAATTTTGTTCTCAGATTATGTTTAATATTAATCCTAGAAAACTAATAGTATATTGATTTTTTTCACATGATTATATTGAAATTCCTCATTGTTTATAGTTTAATAAAGAAATGTTAATATTCAACATTTATAAGACTTTAGAAAATGTTCTAAGGTTTTCTATTAATTCAAATCATTTACTAATAGTTTATTTTGGATTTTCAGTATATAGACACTCATATTTGCTGGTAATGACAGTGATTTTAAAAATGTTTTATTCTATTCTAGATCTTCTAATTTTAGTTTTAGTTTTCTCCTATTATTATAACTGCTGAGAGCTGCAGTGTAACATTGAATAGTGGGTAATAATGGCTACTCTTGGCATTTTTATGATTCTCAAAATATTAATTTAAATGCTCATTTTGAGATTTTATCGGCTTGCATATTGTTAGATCAATTTATCTAATGTAAATACATTTCATCATGTTTACTAACAATACAAATACACTATGCATTTTAAAAAATACACTTACTTTACTTCTGAATCTGTTTTGATGAGAGTTTGTGACTTTCTTTTAACCTGAAGGAGTGCTGATTTTATTAAAATATTTTTGTTCATTTGCATTTCTTAAGAGAGATAAGATAAAATTTCTCCTTTAATCTGTTATTTGGGTAAATTAAATCTATTGCTTTTCTAATGAAAACCAAATTTGTTATTCTGGGCTAAATCTGCCTTTTTATTGATAACTATATTTGATTTGTTAATATTTTATTTGGCATTTTCAAATCTTTATGAATTAATATTGGTCAAAATTTTTCTATTCTTATGAAGTCTTTGTCAAGTTTTGGTAACAGTATAATGACTGCTTCATAAAATGACTTGTTTAATACTTGCTAGTTTTTATACATCATAATTGTTGTATACTAAAATTATTTCTTTAGTGATCATTATGGATTTCTTTGTGGATAAAGCTCTGTTGACCTGAATTTTTTTGGAGCATAAATTTTTAACCACTTGGCTAATATTTTATGTAGTTAAAATAGTAGTTGATTATCTGTTTCTTCTGGAATGAATGATATTCTTCTAGTAATTTGTTATTATTATATCTAAATATTTATGTATATTAACACCAATTTATTCACATATTCTTATG